GAGAGCGGAAGGGCGCAGAAAGTTGCATGCGCTTTCAGCTAGTACCTCTGCTGCCAGCATGGTAAATAATCATATGGTGGCAAGCCTTGTCTACCTGCGGAAGAAAGAGCAACTTCTGTTAGTAATTGCGTCACGAGCTTGACGCTGATAAATTTTCTGAAAGCCAAAAACACATTTTTAACTGTAGCAGATTGCGAGGAAGGAGGATTCATCCATTTGGAAAACTGGCGCCGCCAGGCGGTCTCAAATTACCGAGCCTGTACATTCGAGTGCGAATATATGGAGCACTCACACAGCCTGCGTGTTTGTCTTTGACAACTCGAAGATAAAACACTCTGCTTAGAATCGGGACGTCGACGACTCGGACCCATCTGACTACATTCATTTTCATATTGACCCAACTGTGAAAAACTCGGAGCCTCGGTGGGATTCGAACCCACGACAGCAAGGAGAAGGCTTTAGTACAGCCAACGCTCTAGCCACCCGAGCAATGAGACCCCACTGGACGACGCGAGTTTTATTAAATTTAGGTCAAAAACATCTCCAAATCACGTGGGCCTGGTAGTTATCTGGTAAATTCTAGGCGGATTACTTAGGAAATCCTGCTTGGGCAGTCAGTTTACTGCAGTAGATTTGGTGGATTCCGGACGTTGCAGTGAGTTAGACGAATGACTTGACCCAAATGTGATTAATTTCACGTCTTCAGGTGGGGCCTCGTAAATCAGGTAGCCAGAGCGTTGATTGTACTAAAGCCTTCCCTTGCTGTCGTGTGTTCGAATCCCACTGAGGGGCCGAGTTTTACACAGTCGGGCCAATATGAATTAGTCAAAATCTGCCAAAACATCTGTGCATTCATTTGTCTTGGAGATTAATATTCCCGCAGCTACTCTCGATTTACTAATCTGTTGTTAACGATTAAACTCATTACTCATTACGTCAAGACACCGATGCATTTATAATTCCAGTTGGGTCAGCATAAAGTAGCGTAACGCTCCACGTGGTTTTTACCGCGTCTTCCGAAAAAAATCGGAACGTGGACCTAAAGGATTAACAACCGCACCTGAAATTCTTAGCTGACTGCACTTCCAACGAGCGTATTAAGTAGTTTTTAAATCTGCGTGTTCAAACCAACTTTTATTTTGCAAGCGCCGCTGAATGCGGGTCGCAGTTAATAGTACCATGGCTGTCAAAGCGACGACGAACAATGACCTTAAACGCCGACTAACAGCACTTGTGCAGCATTTTATGCCGGTAGGATAGGCACGCGCAGGATACTTACGGTGGAAGGAAGCCAACTGGTCTGTCCTTGACGCATTTCATTCCTTTTCTCGTTGCTGTAGTTAATTTGCAAGAAATAAACGTCTTTTGTAATGATGTATGGAGGTAACCACTCTGATTTCGATGGTATTTCGTAGAAGTGCAATACCAGTATTTGGTAAAAAAAAGTGCTGCGCTTTTAACTGGACCGTGCGGAATGTCCTGGCTTTGATACTATACGAAAAGTAATTAATCGCGAAAAAGTGCGCGGAATTTAGTCTCAAAAGCATGCTCTAAACCGAGAACTCCTACTTTCTTCCAGATGCTTGCGATTCCATTGCTTTGCGTAAGCAGCAATGGCTGGGCTAGGGCGGACAACATTTCTAAGAGAGGAATTGACAAAACAATTAAACAGTGCCCACGGATTACGTTATACTTTGAAAATGACACATAGTTAAACAAACACAGGCTTTATGATTTTTGGATTTAGCATACATGTCTGGATACGTCGACCCCTTAACTGCTGATCCCGGGAATGTACAGGTGACGAGATCGAGAGTAGACCGGCTCTGTGTAGGATTAGATTTCCGACGTGCATTTACGAAAAGAATCTAGAAGGATTGTCACGTTGTTGAAAAGGTTTAAGTTCCCCTTCAGTGTTACTAATTTTTTTTCGATTGCCATTCTTTATAACTAGTGCTCGTCGCCACGTTCTAGACAAGGAACTCTGACACAAATCAGGAATGCTTATTCCTCCCCTGAAATCAGGATGCATCGGTGAACGGCAGTCTCATATGAATGCCAATTCCCAGTATCAGAAATCTAAGTATTTCAGCCTGCCACAGGGATGTCTCCTACATGCAACACTGGTACTTGCAGAAGCAGGGTATCATGACGAACTACCTAAATAGAATAAGTAGGCATAATAAAACGTGCGTTATTTGGGTTGGTAGCCATATTTCAGTTATCGGTGCGATCTTGCGACCAGAACGGTAGGCGAGTTAGACACAAAAAAGTGCAGTAGACCCAAGTTAAAAACCAAGGTATTTGGGCAAATCTGGTTATGGTATGGTTTTTCGAGTACGAATAATTAACCAGAGGTGGCCATTCCACGTTCTCCAATTTATGTTAACAACGCAACTTTGCAACTGCTGTGCCAATGACTGATTTTAAACATGTTTGGCTTCATTTCAAGGCGGCCAAGGAGAAGACAGCCCTCTGTTTGTCTATGGAAAAGGAAGTCCAAGATCTACGAGAGAAGATACTGATAGCAGAAGCCGAGGCAGAAACTGAGAAAAATGCCTACGATAAACTGTGCAAAAAATTGGAGCGTAAGAGGTGATCAGTGAATTTGCCTTAATTTCTATATCTTCTTGCTCTCGGGTGTATTTTGGGTGTATATTGGTTGTGAACAAGCTAATGGCCAAAGAGGCATGCATTTGAATTCATCATTTCAGACTAGAATTAAATAAAATGCTGTTTTACCCCAACCAACACCATTATCGGACTGTTATGTCGACAGTGTTGGTGAACAGGCATGCCCGTCTCTCGCCCATTTTTTGATTTTCAGCCGGACATCTCCCAAGCCTGCATTATTGGAAAATGCCCGCCCACCTTGAACCGCTCAACCGAGGTTAAGCTGACAGATTTGGCAGACGAAATACAGCTCTGTTCAGGGGGTTGCAAGTATGTTTAAGTGCCACATTAGTGCTACGTCGTCATCGCTTCTGCAAACACATTTTGCCAGTTGACCGTTGAGGCAGTAAGCTCAAGCAGCGTCTCGTTAATCCCCGTCAAAGATAACATTACGACGGCGCCCACACAAATGAAGACTCTAATGCCCTATCTGCCGTGCACTGACTGGATGGAAGGCAAAAAAACGTTTGATTTTAATGTGAAAGGCGGACTTCGTGGCTGACAAGACCAAGCTTCCGCCCTTTGGACTGGAGCTCGGTGACCTGCCTCAAAGTCGAGGCAACCATGTCCATCGGCGGCGTGAGTCCTACCGCATACTCCAATCTGAGAGAACTCTTTTGTCCATGTTTTCAGTCATTAACCGGTGCCATGAACCCACGTAGACGAGCTCCAAAATCTTACAATGAATTCTGCCTGTTAAATATGCTGAATTATGCCAAATTCCAAGGCTGCTGCTCTTCTAGTAGAAACCTTGTCTAGACACTGAGAACCGTTTTGTCTTTAGAAAAACGTATGAGGGAGCTTTAATCGACAGGTGCCAGCTTTCATTTGTCTCCTCGTTTTCGTCTGACGCCCGCCTTATTAAAGTTGTGGCATTTGTCGTCGCACATGTGCCTACGGGGTGCGTTGACTTCGCTGGAATATTTATTATCCGAATCGAGACAGTGTTTAATAAAAGGTCGTCTAACTGGACGGCGCCAAATGACGGTGGACAGGAAGGTGACAGTTTTCGCAAACCTTAACATTCGAGATTTGTTTTATGGAAAGCGGGAGTGCTGGTCTGCTGGCTATCTCAAATCCCAAAGAAGGAGTTATTGAGACTCGTCAGGCTGCGGCAGTCCGACCGAAATTCGAGATATCAGTCGCTTAAATCCATGACAGAAAGTTTTCGGACCGTGTGGGTTTCGTCTTTTCACTAATCCACCGTCGTCGATCAGCGCCACCTCTACCGCCCATTCTGCAAACCCCACAATGATGACGACATCTACCAGCTCTCTCATTCGTATCACAGATGAGAACAATCGCGACCCTCGTCCACAACTGTCCTCACCATTAGCGATGTCGACTCGGTTCCAACCTCTCTTCCCATTACGATCACACATTCCCCTCACTCATCGGCCTGGTGGGCCAGTTTCGAATTTGTTGTACTGGGACAGGCGAACCAGTGCCAAGTCGTCCCACAACAAAACTCGCCACATTTTCCTTCACTGTCTGCACTGTCCACACACATTCATCCACCGCATGGGCCTAATCGGTCACATGCGGATTCCTGAAAGCGGAGTCCACTGTGGTAATGATTTACCCACTATGCCCTACACATCTAGGAATTCTCACATCCCCAGCCCTCCTAACTCCCTATCGACCATTAGCAGCATAACAAGCCCAAGTGACCCAACATGTCCCAACCTATTCTGCCCATACTACCGCTGCTCATTCGCGTCACGCATCGGCCTAGTGGATCACTTTCGAATCCATCGCGCGGAGGCTGGCAAAGCAGTATCTGGAGCCCCAGCATTCACTCACTGCCATCGTCTCGACTGCCCTACTGCCCTCACACATGCGCGTCCACATAACACACGCACCACACACACAAACACATCTGACATTACACAACGCAGAAACCTCTTGTGGAAGTGAGAATTGTGTTCCTCAGCTTCTTCTCTACATGACTCCTCTGCAACATATGACATCTGAGCAGTCTGCCCTTTTTTATGGAAAATCCTCATATGTGCGCATGGGGGTTAGGTCGTAAGTGTAGCACTCTCAGAGATGTTATTCTTAGCTCTGTCAGCCAGGTCTCCAAATCTCCACAGAGGCTTTCTGACCGGCTCGGACAGTCAACTGGTGCATGGGAAAGGTCGCATAATTCCTCACCCTACACAATCTAACGTGCCTTAATCTACCATGGTACGACAGAAGCCTTTGTTTGGAAGGCTGCCAGCTGACGGGATAATTGGGATCTCAAAGTCAGTCTAGTGTGTATGCTTGTGTGATGAATGTCGTCAAAAAGCGTCCGAAAGCGTGTGCTACGTCATTATCAGCAAATCATGGCCATCGCAGCCCGGTATGTGCTGGCAGTTCCCTGACACCTGGTTCCTTGATGGTAGATGCGCCTACGCTCTCGCTGGGTATACAGGTGGTGGGCATTACTGCCCAGTCATCATCATCATCCTTCTGACCCCCTGTTGGGGTGTTGTTGTTGCTGCTGTTATATGTCAAAATCCGGTCATTTGCTGTGTGGACCAGGGGGTGTGGAGTGGAACGCCGAAGTGCGGGCTCGATAGTGCCATCCACCTGCGTCCTCTCCACGCCTCTGGTCCTCTTAGCTCTGTCTTGACACCAGGTCCAGGTGGGGAGAGGGGAAGTGAGAGTGCGGTAGATTCTGCGCAAGTCCACTATCATTGTAGGCTAATTCACGCGCGAGTCACCGTGCCTGCTGCACTTTGCTGTGTAGCACGCGGTGGACATTATCGAAACCGACGGTCGAACTGTCGTCGTGTTGTATGACCGACTGAAAATCAGGCTGCAATGGCTCCTCCTCACTGTGGCCCTCCCTCTGGGGTATCCGAGCCGCCCACCTTTCCTTTTGTTGTTACGCAAAGTCCCGTTGTGGACCAGGTGTGGTGGTACGCCTAAGGGCAGATATTTGCCTGCGCCATCTCCCGTCTTCAGTCTTCTTGACTCTGTCATGACACCGAATCTAGGCGATGGAGGAGAGAGAGCGGTAGGTGCAGCGCAAGTCGCCGCCGGTGGACATCGTCGAAAACGACAGCCGAGCTCTCTTAAAAAGGTTCTTACTGCGTAATTGGACTGGTGGACTTTAAAAATTTTCATCCCAACCAATTAAAAAAAAGTTGTTTTATGTAGCCGCCATGGGACACTGTATGCTGGCAAACAAACACTCGTGTATGTATATAGGGGACGAACTTTTGCTACTGCCAGATGAGAAAATGGCATGTCGCGGACAACGCTGATCGATGGTTTCATCTCGTGGCTGCCCATAGCTCTTCTCTCTCAGCAAAAAATTTGTACTTTCGTTCCAAGATCTTAATTCACGATGATTTTATGGCATGTAAGGATAAGGTAGGTTAAGTGACTCTTAGATCAGACGATTAAGACGGACCAAAATGACTAATAATCTCGAATCAGTTGTTTGTACCCATCTTTTGGCGGTCAGAGTGCTTCGTCGACTTATATAAACTGACAGAGGTCGAAGAGGACTGCGATAGAACGTTTTAATCATTGGTCGGTATGGGACTGTCTGTGCAGCTCTGGCGCAGAAACGCCAGGTCAAAATGCGGCACCAGTACTGTGTCCGGTAACCAGATCAGTTCGAGAGGACGCCATACCTTGGCAACATCGTGCCCATCGCATCGTAAGTAATTGGCGGAGTCACCAAGGCACCCAGTTTACGCTGGATGATTTAGACGGTTCAAGGCAAAGCGACAGCAAGCGCCCTCTCTTCTTCGGTTTTAAACGCTATCGTGCGGCTATTTAATCTATTCAATTGCTTCTCTATGATTGGTCCCAATATCATTCTTCGTCAGGCTGAGCACGGGAATATGAACCCCTTCTTATTTCAGGCAGTCTTGTCCCAAATTCCAGGGGGTTAGAATTAGGGGAAGGGTTATGATTAGGGTTGGACCTAGGTCAGTTGGAACAGGAACTCTCCAACGCGAGGCCACCTGCAGTACCAGGAGAGAGTCCTTTTTTTTCTCGTCCGACCCTCTGCCTTGCTGGAATATCCCGACACTTTTTTTATCCTCACAATATCAAATCTTGTTCATACTCCTGTTTCAGTTCGTCGGTCGCAAGGTTGAAAAGTGCACTTGCTGAGGACTGGCAGAAGAACGATGACGACGCCCTGCGCCTGAGCAGCGACGAATACTGCCTGGCCCAGATGACGGAATTTGTGCAACATCTGCACAAGGAACTACGAAGGACAAAGGAGGTAATTTGGGGGTGGAGAAAGATTATGTGACTGAGCACTCCAAATTGTCCGAACAAGGCCCAGGTCCCCTTTCATCAAGTTGAAGATAGTAATATTAATGTTGAGAACAGGGAATAAATCATAAGCACACAACCGTCCTTGATTCGGTACATAAAAGTCTACTTGTAATGCATAAATGGCGTCCAGTCCGTTGGTAATTTTGCTTTTATCCGATGAGATTTAAGCGATCTGCACTCAGTGACCGATCTCATAAAAGGGCTAAGCGAAGTTCTACGATGTGCTTTCGAGTAATAAAGACTACTCAAGTAGGGTGTGTAAAAATTACCTTGCAAAATAATCCCAAGATATTTCAGTCACGCCATGATGCCAACTTTCACATACACATCTTCTCGGCCGACTTCAAAAACCTTCTGGTAAAAAAAATTGTTTACTTAAATGATATTCACTTTTTCTGTCGGTTTTCAATGCCCTTATAAATACAAAAATAGTTTGCAGAGAAAATGCACGAAAGTAGGTTTTCTTCTAATACTTTGGCAGCAAATCAGGTCTTCTTTAAATTTCATACTCGAAAAAGAACATCTTCCGGTTTAAAAAGTTTTTTTGGTCCGTGCATTATTTTGAGCCAGATCTGCTTTTGCATTTACATTTGGGGTTTAGTCTAGGAGAGGTATACACATGTGCCCCTACGCCAGGATTGACAAACGGACAGATGCGAAGCTATTTGAATGGAAATTTCATGATCTTAAAGTCCCATAATTGCAAGCATTTTTGAAACCGAAGGATACTCCTTTTTCAGGTATGTAATTTGAAGGATATGCGACTTTCTGCCAAGCCTGCAAAGCATAATTTATGTTTACCTTCTTTAAAATATATTTGAAAGTATATGAGAGTGCAAAACCTATGAAAAATATGTACACTATCTAAGCAACCAATTTTCACCTGGCTCGATTTTCATATATGGCCACGTGACGGGGACCGGGTTGTGTGAGGCGCGCGCAGACGGGCTGTTTGGTTTTGTCGGCCACTGCACCCGCGCCAACCCCCTGATCATATACATGAGTAAAGATTCGAGGTCTAGATAGATTTTCTCGTTCACCATCTCCAAAAGAAGACGAAAAAGCAAAAGAGGCGATTCCATTGTGCACACTGTATTTGTGCCGAAGTTTCGGGAACTTCCTTGTTTCCATCATCAGCGTGGTGGGGTGTTTGTTCCTACTAGCCCAGAGTTGTTCTATCTCGCCGCCTGTCTCGTGTTATGGGCATGCCTGACTCGCGAAGTCTGACCTGCCTTCTGGCGGGGGATTGGATTTGGTCTCTCCGTAGCCGACCGGTGGCGCGCTCGTGTGACCTCTGTCCCCTACATGGCCGTCGTTCTCGCTGCTAGGTTCGTGTTCCCGTGGACCCTCCCCTCATAGCCTGATGGGCTGATCAGCTGCCGTTGTATGTGCAAATCACGTCCGGCTGTTTGAGCGCGTAGGTTGGTCTATGTCTCGCATCGGTCGTGTGACCTCCGACTGATTCTTTCCCCCTGTTGTGGAGATGGTAGTCGTTGGGAGGGCCGCGATTTGTTCGCCAGTGCTGTCGGCCCCGTTTGGACTGACTGGAGCCGCGTACGTAGTGCCTAGTAGGCCGGATGAAGATCACTGACTTTGTTGATTCTGCCAACTGAGGACCAACTTTCGAGCGCCAGACTGGCCATCTTGTCGCTGGTTCGGCTGATGACGCTTGCCTTCCCAAAGGCGAAACTGTGCTTCTCCTGTTGTATGTGGCCATATACCAGTGACAGCCTATCCTCGCAATTGACTACATGCTGGTGCTCGTGAAATCTTTTGCAGAGGCGTTTGCCCGTTTCACCAACATACCTCCGCTGCAACTTTAGCAAGGTATGTTGTGGACCACTACTGATTGTTCCCTTGGCGGTAGCTGGTCTTTGGAACTCATTATCTAATGCGTGATAGTGGATTCCGGTTTATGGGTCACTATAATCCCAAAATCGCTCAGGGTTCTTGCTTTCGCCTCAGAAACATTCCTCACGTAGGGGGTCGCGAGCCAGAACTTCGGCTTCTCATCGTTAGATCGTTCGGGAGTAAGTCCGCTTCGGCATTCACGTAACCATCGACTGTGAATAGGGAATGTAGGTATTTCGCTTCTTCCTTCCTCCAGTCGTCGTCACTACAGTGTGTTCGAACTCATTGAAAAAGAATCCTGACACATCTGCGTTTGTGACCAATGGGGTGGTTACTTCGAAATTGGAGGCTGTATCTAGTATTCATTGCCTTACGGTATAGCGTAGTTCTGATCCACCCTTAAGCTATCCTTGCGACATTTGCGTCAAGGGAGAGCGACTGGTTGTTGTTTTCCTTATCCAACAACTCTGGGCCAGTATGAGCAAACGTCCCAAACCCCCACGATTTTTCGGTCCCTCAGTTGGGTTTTTTGGAAGTATTCAATGGTTGCATTGTTGAAGTCCTGGGAATGAGACCTATTCGCATATCTTCTGGAAGAAATAGGAAAGTTTGTGTAGACATTATTTCTGAAAAAGGGAACCTCGTTTTGGCGAATGTCTGAAAATTATTTTGATATGGTTACTGACTGAATCTAAGTAGCTGGTTTATCTTCGTGATCCATTTTGTCCGTGACTCGTATTTTTACTCACACCCACTTTTTTGATAATGAAAACGAGGAAGTTTCCTAAACGTCGGCACAAATACAGTGTGGCCCATGGAATCGCCTCTTTTGGGGGGATGAACGGGATATATAGATATACTGGTTGTTGCACAACCTGCGATATTGCAAAATAATTATCCAAAGGTGACTAAAATGAGCACTGGTGGCCATCGGCAGCCAGCCCGACTGCACGAAATCTACTCCGCTGAAAGAGCTACCACTGCGACAGAAAAGTGAGCCTTTTGTCATCAGAAGCATGCATTTTTTCTCCACACATTTCCTCGTCATCCGATCAATTAAATGCATCTTCTTTAAGCACAACTACCCCAGCTGCGTTTATGTGTTTTTGTGGAGTTGCCGGCAAAATTTGTGGAGCGTACGCTAAGGCGGCTCGCAGTGCGATCGAATTAAAAAAAATCCAAGCGACCGCCCCGCATACAAGACAAGTTAACCCAAACACCAATCCCAAACCCAATACTGACTGCCGTTAACGTGTCGATTCAGGGCTGAAGTTTTGACAGATGATTATCGATTTATCCACTCCAATCGATAAAACAACAAGATTGTGCGGCAAATTGTTAAATTCACAGACTTGAAAGTCCTCGAAATTAAGCAGTTGGATTAGGAGAAACTAGTGATCACCATGGTAAATTGGCACGCCTTCAACCAGGAAAGTAAGTCTTTTATTTGACAACATTTTGAGATACTTGGCCCAGCCCTATTTTGCCAGGGTACCGGAGTGACTCAGGAGTGAATTACAATCAAAGTTGTGAGTCAAATTGTCTTGACCGTAATTCGATTTAGAAGGCGAATTTATCTCTATTCCGAGATATTTTCAAATAAGAGAAACTCCTTGTCTCTGAATCGCAGGATTTCATGGTTTTTAAATTATGCTGCCAGAAATCCTAAACCACGTTAACTTTCTTAACTGCGTCCTTCAGAAAAGATACTCAGAAGAAAAGGTGGCGAGCGAACGTTGCTTTCGATAGCTTCTCGTCAGGCCAGTGCAGTTATATGGGACGGGGTACAGTGAGTGAAAAAAAAAATCGATAAAATACAGGCTAGGCAAGAGCTGAAGGGCACAGGAAGTTGTATGCGGCTAGTCAGCCTTTGAGCACGGTAAGCGCTGAACCTGAACGAGGTTCTTCTGGGCGCATAGGGTCGGTTTTCTTAACCTGGTGGCGGCCGCTTCTGCTGTTGCTAACAGGCGCTGGCCCAATAGCTTATGGTAGCTCTAGGGAACCTTATAACTCACACGAAATGCTTCAGCGCGGTTCACACGATGCCCTGAATCCACTGCATGCCCAGGAACGGCGCTGTCTATTCTCCTAGTTTCACCTTTTGCCAGCCATGCGGGAAGGTGCTCTCGTATTCTTTTGGAAAGGCGCCGACTCGTACGACCAGTATAACCTGCTCCACAGGACCAAGTGAATGCGTAGATGCACATTGAGGCGGTCTGAGGTGGCAGCCTATCCTTGCCTTCACCGCGTAACATAGAATTAGTAGAGAATGATATGCGGACCCTCGCTGCTGGGAAGGTTGCCGAGACAGCTTGGTTAACGCGTCAGCTTAGGGGTTCACTTGCAGTGTCTCCTTGGAAAGGCGGCAGGGTTCTTTGTAATGAACCTGTCAGGATACCGTTTTCTCGAAGTTATCGAAAGCGACATTCGCTCGCCACCTTTTCTTCTAAATATAGCTATGGGGATTTTCAAAAATGTCCAAATGTACACTCATTAACTGTTAGAGGGGAGTTCGTCCGACGCCTCTCCCTCTCACCCTGAAAGCAAAATAACAGTAACGCTAGCGCTGTATCCTCTCTCTCTCTCTCATTCAGGTTTTTGAGGTAGTCGAGGAGGGCTCGCTTGCATCGCATCCCGCGCGCTTTTTGTCCAAAAGCGAACTGACAGCGCAGAGATCTGGGCTAATTTCACTCCTTCTCACCGTCCTTCAGACAGCCTGCAAACTCGGCATGGAGATGAGTCTGCCCAGAGGCTCCCAGGTGGACTTCTAGGCGAATCACCAGAATGCGGTTGCACGAACCAACAGAGGAGAGCCTTGAATGGATGCTTCTTCCCGTGTTGCAATGACACTTCTATTTCATGCACAATCCCCCCCACCTTAATACATTCCACTAGAAACCGCCTACAATTGCGTCTTCTCACACGTAAATAACCCTGAAAGGGCAATTGACGCGATTGAACTATGAACATGCCGTGCGCTGATACTATTGGCCCTGCTTTGAGTTTTTTAGGAGGAAAGTCAGAAAGAAAATGCTAGTTAAGCGACACTACGTATTATTGTTCCGATGGTGAGTGCGAAATCATCGCAAATGGTTTCCCCACACTCCTGAAAGTCTAGACACATGTCTCGCCAACACAAGGAGTTGCATGACGTAACTGCGAAGGGTGATTGCTAATCTGTAGGTCCACCACCTACCGTCCAGAATCCCGTGTGAAGTTAAGGAAACGACTACAAGAATGTCCCTGTGATATCCAAGGTCGGTTGGAAGTATGGTTGTATTGTTCCTTCAGGAGTACCCCTAAACCCGGGTCACACACGGGAGATGGCCAAGGCAGGCGTTCAATCAGGAGATGCAAAGTCCGCAGCAGCCCTTAACTGACAGCTCGATAGTCGTGACCGACGATGTCCACCGTGTGCACTACAGCCGGATGAGGGCAGGACGGTGACTTACGCGCGATTAGTTTATAGGGATGGTGGACTTGCACAGCGTCTACCTCACTCTCTCCCCCTCCCCCACCTGGGCCCGGTGTCAAGACAGAGTCCAGAAGACCGGAGACGGGGGGCGCAGGTGGATGGCACGGCGTGACCCCCCCACTGATGCCTACCACCGCACCCCCTGATCCACAACACATACTGATCAGGATTTGACGCGAGGAGAGGATGGCGACTCGGATCCCATTGGATGGGAGTGCCATAGAAGCTACATTAAGAGGAAGCGATTGCAGGCCGACTCTCAGTCCACTAGTTGGTCAATCCACACAGACACACCCACAGTGTGCTAACTGTGAAGTCCAAGTAATCCCGTCAGTTGGCAATCTTCCAGGTCACAGCAGTTCGCGCACCATGATGGATCAAGAGCGTTAGATTGTTTATAGTGAGCAAAATGGGCTGAGACGTCGACCTCACTCTCTCCTACCACTCCGAGACACCAGTCCTCTGCCCGAGACGGTCAGATGTCTGATGCAAGGAGTCGACGCCGTGGCTGACAGGGCTGGAGAACCCGTCTTCGCGTGCCACGCGCACGACCCGAAACGCACACACCGGATCACACACATAGGGGGGAAAGCGACTCGGGTCACACATGTTAAAAGAAAGTCAATAAATTGAAATCATCGCAGTCTGACTCAGTTTACTAATCGGCCGCTCAACCCACAGACAGACAACTGCGTGACCAGGTTTGAGGCGTCAGACGACAACCTTTCGAATCGTGACCGTGAAAGTCTCAAGCGCGTCACATTGGTCATAGTGAGGAATTATGCCCTGAGTCGACCTCAATCATTCTACCCTATCCAGCGCACTGGTCGACTGAGATTGAGAGAGGTGGCTGACAAAGCTGAAAATGACTCCGCTGCGCGTGCCACTCACACGATCTGCCTCCCGTACGCATAGACCTGGATTCCACACACATAAGGTCGGCTGCCCGGATTTCACGTGCAGCAGAAGAGCCGTATGAAGAAAGGAGTCGAAGGGCCCACCTTCACTTATGTGAGAACTGCCGGTGGTGTTCATGTATGGTGTAGGTGTCAATGAGACAGTGTAAAGTGATGTGGTCAGGTCTGCGGGGATTTACCCTAGGAATGTGGGGCGACACGCCCAAACGTAGGTCTGGCACCGCGACAGTCACTGCGCCCAACTCCAGCGCTGGACGGTTGATGGAATCAGACAGTCAACAGCCGTACGGCACATTCCTCACTACAATAAAGCTGACGCCCTTTGAATCTATCACGACGCGCTAATCCGGACAGAGACAGGCTACACTGATCTCCGAATCAGATGGGACTCAGGCTGACCACTTCTGCGAAAACCCCCCCTACTGTGCTGGAGCCTGACGCCGGCTTTTTGACTCAGTCTTGCCTCGGGGCCCAGGGAGGGGGGCAGTGAGGGTGGAGGAAGAGCAGGAGATGCCACGCAATTCACGCAAGCCACCGTCCTGCGCCCACCACGGCGGACACCAGTCTTCGTAGCGGTCGAACTGAAATATGCGTGAGCACTCTGGCGGGCGATCTGCGCTACAGCGGAAGTTTCGGCAGAGCAGACTCACGTCCTCCTCAGTGTCGTGCTCTAGAGACAAGAAAAAAACCAGTCCCACTGGGGCCGGGTGTGGTGCAGTGATGTTCGAGACCAAACAACCCGGCTACGCGTGCCACACACGGCCTGGCGCCCAAGTAGGCCCGATTTGGGGTCCCCGACCCCAAACGTGGTGGGGCCGTAAAGGCCTTCATGGTGGGCATCAACGCTTGTAACTGTCGAAAACTAGAATTCAAACAAAACCCTGCAAACAACAAAGCCAGTAATCTCACGCATTCATCCAAATGACAGCTACTGACATGAATATATTTGCTATCGCGCCCCGATGTTCCAAGCTCAAGTAATAGGGGAGTGCTGAAACATCGCTTTCCAGATACGAACTCTGAGTCACTTGAAAAGAGCTGGGATGTTAGGGCTCACAAACGAAGCCCAATAGCCCGCCATGTCTACGATAGGTTTAAGGACAAGCCAACACAACAGGTGCAGTCAACTTCATCATTCTGTGACTCAATCGTGCCTACAGCCAAATCCCAACTTCCGAGGCCTCCACTGACATTATATTCAACTGCTGCTTCTACACTGTCTAGCGACAAAGCTTCGCAATGATAGTTTCACGTAAGTGGCTGACTTAAATGATAAACTATCTTCCGATCGTACACCCCTGGGCCCGACTGTATCTACGTTTCAGGGCCATCTCGGAATCCACGCCGCCTAGTACGTTTGACTTTCACAGTGCCGTGGAATAGTCGGTAATCACGATATGGAGTCAGGGACTGCTTTGTTGTTATGGAAAAGCATGGCTTCCATGTACGTTCTGCTTAAGAAGACGCTCTGTCTACTTACACAGACTGAATAGGTTAATCCTTGCTGAGACAAAAGGAAGTGGCGTGACGCCCGGAGGCGGTGAAGAGGCAGCAGCTGCGCAGTGGGATAAGTCAGATCCTGACGTCAGAAAAAAAAACGACACAACTGAATCCAGTCAATCCGACACCCTTTAATGAACAAAAGCAGGTCACAGGTCACCCGCCCTACCTTAGCCGGGAGCCATCCAAAGTCGGAATGTCATGTGACAAGACCTAGGAGGGCCTGCATTCAGAATGTATAAGACAGTCAGCTTATCGAAAGTTTAGGCATTTGGTTCGCATGGCCGACACGACAGCGGGTGAGGTTAATCGAGCAGGTCAACAGAACGCCGAGGATAATCAGTCACATCCACCAAAGCAGCCTAGCCATGAAGGCCGGTAAATTGTGAGGCAGCTGGCTCTGAAGGGAGCAGCGGTAGACTTGCTCCTTCTCCCCAACCTTGGCCCGGTGTCAAGAGAGAAATAAGAAGATCTGGAGGGCGGCAGAGAGCGCAGGTGGCGGACTAGTTCAAGCTAACTTTTGTCCGTCTGTTGGGGTTTTCGCGCCCCGCAGGACAAAATAAGAAATCAACGGATCCGCACTGGACGTTTACCGGCAGGAATGATGTGCCTGCTAATAGTTACAATTACATATGTGATGAACCGGCGAGGCAAACAGCAAAGGGGATGGGTGCTACTCGAAGGACGCGAAATAACGTCTCAGACAGGGAGACGGAATAGAAGGCTTTAGTGGATGAATCTACGAGTGATTGGGACAGTCACTTAGTCGGTCCGGGAGGGAGGGGGTTAGCCCAATATGGAGAGAATTACCGCTATATCTGTAAAGAGGGGCTTTCAAAACTGGAAATAGCCTCTACCAGCGGCGACGGAAGAGAGCAAAGTATGATGCTGTCAAGACCTTTGCGCATATTCTCTGCGGGGTTAGGCGAAACCGAGGCCCCGAGCCTATTGAGAATCGAGGCAACTGAACCAATTCCGACGGAAGATAGAAGTAAATGAGTTAGTTTATTTACAAAATCAGAAGATAAAAATGATAGCAAGAATGTAAAAAGGAAAATCTCCAAGACCAGCATCAAGTCAGAAAGAAAACATATGGAGGAAACAAATTAGCGAGGGTATTTTCGCGATGTCACTCATTCCAGACGGAAAGGCCGTCATCCGTGCAGCAGTAAGACTTCGTCGGCAGTGGCCAAGTTGAGGCAATGTTTTTACGTTCTGTCACACCAGTGGCGTCAGAGGAGGAGCCATTTTTTACATACATACCACCCACTTCGTGGATGAAGCCTCTAAGTTGAGAGCGCAACGACTTGTTAGCCT